GGAAAATACTAATAAAAGATAAATTAATAAAATTCAAATTAATGAAAATTAATGGAGAAAAATAAATGACAAATATATAGATATATATTTACCTTACAACTTCACCAATATTTGAACTAATTAAATACCGAATGAATTGTTTTGTGTTATTATATATTGATCGCCCTTCTTCAACAGCACCTTCGATACTAGCAAAATTATCATCGGCAAGAACCATATCAGCAGCCAATTTAGCAACATCAGTACCAGAACCCATTGCAATACCGATATCAGCTTTCTTTAAAGCTGGAGCATCATTGACACCATCACCTGTCTATAATTTTAAAAATTAAAGTGTATATATATTATAACAAACAATTATTTACTTAATAAGTATTTATTATACAATTATTTATAATTCAATGATTTAACATTCAATTATTGAAGTTATCACTTACCATAGCCACTACTTCACCATTTTTTTGTAGTATATCAACAAGTTGACTTTTATGTGATGGTTCAGTTCTTGAGAATAAACTAGCACTCTTTAAAATTTCAGCTTTTTCATCATTTGAAAGATCATCGAATTGTCTACCAGTATAAGATTTTCCAGTTAAATCTTCATGTTCACCAAAAATACCAATTGATCTGCAAATAGCTTCAGCAGTGTTTTGATTGTCACCAGTTATAACAATAACTCTTATTCCAGCCGTCTTACATTTTTTAATAGCATCAAGAACTTCAGGACGTGGTGGGTCAAGCATGCCTACTAAACCCATAAAAGTCATATCCTTTTCAAATTGAACAAAATTTGAAGGGTCACGAAGATCCCAATTGGTTGGACAATTTTCGATTTTGGCCATAGCAAGAACTCGTAAACCTTTATGACCATATTCTAATAGTTTCTCAAATAATTTTTCTCGCATAACAGGAGTAAGCGGAATAGGAGTGGATGAGGAATATAATTGGATAGAAGTACATCTGTTTAATATTGATTCAGGAGCACCCTTAACAAGTAATGAAGTTGATTTGGTATTCATATTTTGAACAATGACTGACATGGATTTACGATCACGAGAAAATTCTAGAGTGGCCAACTGTATAAATAAAGTATATTAAGTATATAAAGGGATACATAAAGTAATTTTGAAGGTTAAATATTTATTAACACAAAAACAAGAGATTAAAACGAAAGATTAAAATAACATTGAATATTTACACGATGGAATCTAGTTTCATAGTAATCATTACAAGCAGTAGCACGTGCTTTTGAAGAACAAGAGCTCAAAGTATTATTAAATGAATTACTATCGGTTCCAAGTTTTTCGACGAGGACCTTTAAAGCAGCTTCGGTTGGTTCACCGACATTTTGATAAGATTCAGTAGTCTATAGAGAAACCATAAATTAATAAATTAGGTAATGAATTAGTTAATTAGTTAATAAATTAGTTAAGTGAATATAAAGAGGCGTCCTCTAAAAACTTACTTCATCATATGCAATTCGGGAGTCATTACAAAGAGCACATATTTTTGCTAGATCATTAATACAAGGACTATTTTCAGGAAGAAAGTTGACATTTTCGCCATCAGCCGTAAGGATTTTTCCGTGTGGAGAGTAATTAGAACCATCAATATGATATTCCTGGATATCAGCATGCTCGGTTGTTATGACAAATAACTAAATAACAAATATGAGTAGTAATATATTAATTAGTTAAATACTTCAAGATTTTCAAAGTATAAGAATATATGTAAAACAAATACCCTAGAAACGCTCATACGATTTGTAGTGAGAGTACCAGTTTTATCAGAACATATGACACTCGTACAACCCAGAGTCTCAACAGATGGAAGAGATCGAACAATTGCATTTCTCTTGGCCATTTTTTTTGTACCAAGAGCTAAACATGTTGTGATAACTACGGCTAAACCTTCGGGAATAGCGGCAACAGCTAGTGCAACCGCGATTTTGAAATAATATATGGCACCTTTAACCCAACCATGGTGAGAAGGATCATTGAAGTGACGAATATTTATCACCCACACAAGTATACAGTATTCAAATAGAAATTGGTTTTTAAAAAATTATTTAATATTTTTATAAATAATATTAGGCAAAAAGACAATAGAGATTCATCTCTATAGTGACCCTACATATAGTAGCCAATCATATTTAGGGTTTGAAAATTTTCTTTTGTATTTTTTTTAAAAAATTTTTATTGGGCAATAATAAGAAATATATGGGGATGAGTTAATAGAAACACACCAAATTTTTTCTAAGTAAATTTTTTTAAATCTTTGAACAAAAACAACTCAACAATAATTTAAGCAAATTTAATAATTTTTTTTTTAATTAATTCTATATACTTGTAGAATTTATTTTTAAAAAATTGTATTAAATTTAGTTAAGCTTTTGTTGAGTTATTTT